TGATCACGCGAAGTTGCCCTTGATCACGCGAAGTTGCCCTGGTACACGATGACGTTGCCCTTGTACACGATGAAGACGCCCGTGATCAAGAGAAGACGCCCTGGCACACGTGATGTTGCCCTTGAACACGAGAAGTTGCCCTTGAACGCGAGAAGTTGCCCTAGAACACGGTCGAGTCGTAGCACGCCGGGTGAAACTCTGCCAGCCCTTCCGGGGCGGCCCGATCTCGCCAAAAGAAGTGGGTCTTCATCGCACACGGTCGAGTCACGGTACGTCGGGTGGAACTCCGCCAGCCCGTTCAAAACGTCCGGATCACGCCAAAAAAGTGGGTCTTCTTGATGCACACGGGTACGTGGCCCTCCCGGGGGCGGCGTTCAGCATCACGTCCGAGTAGATGTCGACCGGGATCCCACGGGGCACCACATGTCTCGATAGCGTGGGAGAGCAGACATGAAGGTCACAACATTTATTCGGAGCGTGTCCCCGGTGGGGTGACACCTCGTTGAAGTAAATGAGGACTGGAGAAGCCGGGGTCGGAGCGGATGACTGAAGCAATCACAACGAGAAATGGGGGCTTTATATACCAGGGAACGTAGGGAAATCGACATGGTAATGAGGGGAAGGCATGGTGATTAGCTTGTTCTTCCGGTCATTCAGCATGCGCATGCAGTCGCGGGATCGCGACAAAATCCTTGGAAATAGCCCATGCGCTTTCCGGATCTCCGCTCAAATTTGAGAACTTACTGTACCCTACCTCCCTTCGGAGAGGCCCCTAATTAGCACCTTCAAACTGGCTGAAGGACAAATCACAAATCCGAGCGCCATTTTGACAAAGCATAAACCAACGCAGAGCACCTATTTACCAAGGAATAAGTGCTCCGAAAAGGGGGTTGAAAAGGTTGAGGCGCGGGTATTTGCCGCCACCTGGTTTCCCCGTTTCTGGGGTGTGCCGAATTGTTACAGGGAGAGCAGAGAACAGAACGAGCACGGAAAGCACAGAAACCACAGGCTAGAGGAGCGGGAGAGGAGGATGATTTTGGTTTGGCCTGATTTGAGAGCTGCTCCGCGTTGCGCAAGATTTCTCAGTGCTCGGCGAGCTGTGAGGGAATTGGAGGCATTTGCACGAAAATAGATAAATTAGCATTAGTCTAATTCGAAACCAGGCACATGATCGTAGAATCAAGTAGAAAACCCTGTGGCCCAATTTTGATGCGGAGCGTAGCGGAACCCGCCGGCTTATGGTAGCTCGACGACGGTGCTGATTTCTCGGAGCCCAAATCGGTTCTTGCTTGAAGAAAGTTGAAACGACGTGTTTTTTCAAGTGTTTGATCAAAATTAATTACCAACTAAAATTTTCGTCGAATACGAACTACAACAGCTAAAATATCGGCAATTAGTAAAGAGGAGTTTCTTTAGCTGGATGAGCCTCAATTTGCGTAATTTTTGTAATAGTATTTTATTCTATAGGACTTGATAGACAATCCCCATGAATACCGACAACAAAAGCAGAACAAGCAGAATTTGTGATGATTAGCAAGATTAAAAAGTGGCAAATCGTGATAATCAACTACAGGGTGTCCCAAAAAACCCCCCCCCCCCTCTAGCGGTCCGTGGGAAGCTCAGATCAGGATGATTTTTATACCATTCGAACGCCCGCGAAAAGGCGAGAAAACAAGCGGGCTTCATTTTCTAAGAGTTATTCTGATTCGTCCGATATTCAGCGTTTTTCTAAAAAACAGGTAGCTTTTCAATAGAAATTTCGCAATTAGCATGCGGATCTCGCGTAAATCAGCCGTTTTCATGGATTTTGGAGGTAAAATTCGCGAATAAAAATACATAATAAAGAAAATGAACTCTTCTTGTTTTCTCGCCTTTTCGAGAGCTTTCGATAGATACCTAAACGGCGAGAATCGGACACGTCTGGGCGCCGCTAGAGGGGGGGGTTTGGGACACCCTGTATAATATATAATTACCAGACATGGCAATTTCGGTCGGCCGGCCGCGGCCGACCGGCCGACGGCCGCATTAGCATAAAAAAATCGGCCGTTTCCGGGCCGCCGACTCTATGCAAATGACTTCCGGTCGGCCGATCGGCCGGCCGACTTTTTTGGTCGGCTCGGCCGCGGCCGCGTCGGCCGGCCGACAATTCACACTTGAGAAAAAGTTTCACAGAAACGTGTCGCTGGCGCCTCTAAATTTTGAATAAATATGGAATGGGTTTGGGCATTGCTTTTCACTATTCCCTAGGATGCCTGCCTAGCAAATTTTAAAAATCTTTATTTTATGTGGGGAAAGCGTGCTTTTTATGTCAACCCTGATTTTTTTAGAAAGTTGCCAGCTTCAAATAGAATTCAATTTTGTAGTTTCAAGTAACGCAAAGATTTAGTCAGTGTGTTTTTATGACGAGTGGACCTTTAGTTTCCTGAATTTTTTTTAATTGAATCGTTTTGCGGCGATGAAGCAATTAGTGATGATAAAGCAAAGCAACAGCCACATCAGATCTGTTGTAATCACGTCTAACCCTAGACCGTTGGTTGCAACCCCATTATTTAACTAATTTCCTCAGTCTACACATTTTTGGCCAAGTAAATCCCTTCATTAGCATCCAAAAATCTAATTTGGTTGCGGGTTTTCGGCCGTTTCCGGGCCGCGCGGCCGGCCGACATGTCGGCCGGCCGATTTCGGCCGGCCGCATTCTAATTTTTTCGGCCGAAAAAGCCGATCGGCCGGCCGATTTGCCATGTCTGATAATTACCATTGGGTTCAAACGCTTAACGTTCATACTCTAATTCATACTACGCGCTTGAATTGCTACAAAAGGCTGAACAAAAGCAGAATAAGCACCAATTTGCCGAAATCGACAAGACCAACAATTGTTTACCGGGACTGGAATGAGCCTTGAACGGGCTAGATGTTAATTCGACCGGGTGCTGGGAGCAGAAATCCACGCTCGCTCTCAACCCGAGCAAATGAGCGCGGCCGGGAGAATTTTTGAGGGGGGATGGTTCATTGGTCGAGAGCCAACTTCGGCGCGGAATTGTGTCGCCGGCCGCCGGGGCGGTAAATAAAAAGGGGCGGCGTCGAATGGGAGGTGTTGGTATTTAAATTAAGTTGGCCAAAAAAGATCAAAGGGTCCAGGCTTGGCAGGGGGAATTATTGGTGTAGGGCCACTCTTTTGTATCCTCGGGATAGAAAATGGACTTGAACCCTGGGAAATGACTTACTCGTGAGATCACACATCAATGATAGGTCCTCATGACCGAACTGGTCAAGTATTTCGGCTTCTGAATTGCTCGAAGAACTAGAAAAAACTGTCGGGCTGTCGGGGTTTTGGTTTCGAAAGTTTGGCTAGTGGTATTTTGGTCTTTCGGCTTTTGGTTTGATTTTGGTTTGTTTGGATTTTGAATTTTGGTTTTCAAGCTTCTCGCTATCAAGGTTTTGCTCTAGCGACATTTTGATCATTCGGCATTTTGGCCAGTCGACATTCCGGTCATCGGGATTTTCGTCTGTCGGTATCTGGCCTGTCAAGATTTTGGCCTGTCACCATTTTGGCTTACGGGAAATCTGGCCATTCGTATTTGGGCTGTCGGGATTTTAGCTGTTGCTACATCTTTTTCTCGGGGTTGTTGCCGTTATTTCACAAGCAAAAATGCCTTCCAGAGGTTCAACTCAATTATGACAAAGTGCGCCGCCGCATCAAATGAACCGTAACCACACACAAAACCTGATTTTTCACCGCCTAGCGCCGATGAGAAATTGTTTTCGAGTCCAATGGTAATCTTTCCTCTTTTGCGCCGCCGGAAAAACTTTCCGGGTGCCACTGTGCCAAAATAATGCCCAAAAACGACCCTTTTCATTCTATGGGTCGACTGGCCGTGAATGTCTGGAATCACGACTCGAAAACAGATGGAAAATCGGCTGTAGAAATTCGTCTTGGTGTGGGCGAAAGTCACGTATTTCATCGCGTAATGGGTCATAAAACTGGCGTCTCAAACTCCTGAACCCATAAGAACCCTTGAATTTTTATGGCGTAATTGAGCGCGGTTTCGTAAAAATGTATTAAAACTGGAAAAACAGGCTTATTAAATTTTTCTTCAGGAATAAAGCTTGAAAATGCATAGGTAAAAGAGAACTGTGATGTTTAGAAAAAGGTGGTGAAATTTTCTTAATACCATTATTATTTTATTGTCACCTAGCAATCGAAGAAGGCACCGGAAGAAAATTACCGCTGTAAAACGGATGCGACCGATTTTCCAAAAGTGCAAATCGGGGTGGGTGCGAACGAAATACGGGAATATTTTCTGATAAATAAAACAAATCGTGTGTGATTAGTTTGGCGGGGGTAAATCCGTAATTCGAAAAGCACAGTTGTGGAAAAGGGATAAGGGAATGAAAAGAGTGCGCGAATCGAGGGCTGGATGGCCACTGGCCGGGCCCGATATCCCATAACAACCGAAGAGGGAGCCGGTGATTCAGTGACACAGCTCGGCTTTTCCTAGTATGGATAGTGGGGGATTAACTCGAACTGGTGAACAAAATTATGATGGACGTACGGGCTGGCAAGAACGGGATTTCTTGAATTCTCGCGCAAAACAGGTGTCACGTTCCCTTTAAAAAGGTCCCTGGTCTAAGTCGAATTTTGCAAGCTGTGATTGGCACAACGTTGGCTTTTTTGCCATAAATTCACCGAAAATTTTACGGTTACCGGGATACGCGACGCGCACGCTAGCGGCTGGATGCGTTTTAAAAATAATAAATTAAAGATTTTCACAATTTTGAAAATGTCAGCGAGTCAAGCCTCAAAAAAACAAACAAAAATCAAAATTATCGTAGCAACAAATTTCCAAACAGCCGATAAACATCCGATTAGGAAATTGGTGTATGCCCAACTATAGTGAAAATTTCAGGGGCGAAAATGAGCGGCAGGCGCTGTTTAGGGGGGTAACCCATAGATAAAGCGGGCCATCAGACAGCCGTAAACATTCGTTCATGGATGCCACATGATGTGTGAGTTCCAAAGTCGGAAGGTAACGTCTTGAAGCTTCATTTTTCGAAAGTCACTTAACCAAAAATTCGACTGATTTTATGAATGACAGGGCTTGGCTTAGGCTGAAAATATTCTTGAAACCAGTTAGACTTTTTAGGGGTGGAGTGATTTTAAATGCAGGCCACAGTTCTGATAAATTCCGGAGCAAAGTACAGTTTTTGCTCTCAACGACCGGCGAACCTGGTGACCAATCTTGACCTTTTAGCCCCCACGGTTAGAGTTAGATAAATGAAGAACGAGAGCGAGAGAGCGAGAGAGAGAGAGAGAGAGGGAGAGAGAGCGAGAGAGAGAGAGAGAGAGAGAGAGAGAGAGTGAGAGAGAAAGAGAGAGCGCGAGAAAGATTTGATCAGTACTCGGCCAGGCCACTCGTTCTTGGCAGCCGCCGCGCTCTCTCTTTCTCTCTTGGGGCGAAGATTTGTAGTCTTGTAGCCCGTTCCCCGATTTGGTATTGATCTATGGGCAACTGATTGTCGCGAATTGTCAGCTTTCATGATTAGAAGCGCGTAGATTTCGCAAACTAGCTCAGTTTTCCTCCTTGGTCTTGCTGCTGATTTTCGTCTTCTTGCCATGCGCGATTGAGAATCTGAATTCTGAGATTCCTGGGACGTCCACTCTTCCTTAATTTTACATTTTTTTTAATTACCGCCTTTTTTTGCTAGCCGCTTTTCTAGTGCACTTAATTATTTTTTTATTCGTTATATATTGTAAATTAAGATTAATGGCCTTTTCAGCGCTTTTTCAGGCTACCTCTCATTATCGTCTCCTTAACCTTTAAGATTGCTATACCAAGCTCCGAATTAACAATATAAATCGCTAACGAAAATTACTCAATTTCCCATTTTCTTCTGACCAGAACCCTTTTTCTGTGATTTCTACCTCTAGATCCAAAAAAATAATCCCCAACCGCCAAACGGTGCCCAAATCACAAAACTTTACATTCCGCCACTAATTCGCTGTACTTGCATCATGCGTTCTGCGCGCGGGGTACATTGCGCGCCCCGATTTTCTCTTTTTAAGGATCTTTCGGATTTTATTCACTTTTGGTTCTCCTCCCTCGAAAATTTCCGGTCACGGCGGTGCTACGCAGAAAGCGGTGACCCCTTATCTAACCGCCTCCAAAAAACGGCAAGGGTCGATATTTGATCGGTTTTGTGTTTTCGGTCGTCACGGAGTACCTTGTTTTTTACTAGATTTTATTAATGCATATTTTATTAATGCGTGATTTTCCTACTGCGGATTAACTAGGTCGAAACGATACCTACGTTATCAACTATTAAGCGCCAGCATCCTTTTGTTTCCGCTATTTGGGCATTAATTGATTAGGAAACAAGGGAGTGAGAGAGGGAGGGAGAGAGAGAGAGCGAGAGAGAGAAACAATTTTTCCTATAGCTCACATCCCGTCTCATTCCTCCCGTTACCATCCAACCCATAGAAGGTCCCACATCTCGAACACGGTTTTTCAAAGGCGGCATACGACCAAAAAGAGGAAGTGCATACCCGACTCACCACTCAAATCAATCTTTGCACTGTTAAAGTTACGTTGACCTATTTTTGCCTTTTCGTTGATTAGATTACGACTAGATACGATCAGGGCCGTAACAAACCCAAATTTCGGGGGGGGGGGCGACCCCAAAAATTTTTCACTAATATGACTAAAACTACAGCGCCGCAGGCAAAATTTTTGAAAACATAGGGTTTATAACACTAAAACTAGTGTTAAAAATGGGAAAACATGATTCCGCCTATTTGCATCTCGCCTACTGCTATTTCGCCTCCTCTTATCTCGCCTACATCCCATTCCGCCTACATCTTATTTCGCCTACATCCTATTTCGCCTACATCTTATTTCGCCTACACCTTATTCCGCCTACCTCTTATTTCGCCTACACTTTATCTCGCCTACATCTTATTTCGCCTACCTTTCATTTCGCCTATTTTGCATATTGCCTGTATTTGCGCATCAAGCATTATTACAACTTCAGTATATCAAATATAGATCGTTTAATGCTGTTGAGCAAAAAAGAACAGCTTTGGAATTGTCAGTGGAAAAGATAAACGCGGCTTATTTTAGCGCAGTGTTTATCTAAAAGGCAGTCCAGCTTTATTATCATGGAAGATACTATATACCGAAGCTCTACTAACGTTGTATGAGCAAATACAGGTATAGGCGAAATGAAAGGTAGGCGAAATAAGATGTAGGCGAGATAAAGTGTAGGCGAAATAAGAGGTAGGCGGAATAAGATGTGGGCGAAATAAGATGTAGGCGAAATATGATTGTGAACTTATGAACCCTTATGAACTTTTCGGCCTTCGGCCGATTTCGGGGGGGGGGGCGGCTCGCCCCCTCGCCCCCCCTCTTACGGGCCTGGATACGATACACAGAATAGATACGATCACAACTATATTTGGCACGTTCTTAATTCCAGATGGACGAGGAGCTACTCCCACAACTCACCGAGCTTCATCCGGCCAAAATGGAAAAGCTTCTCGAAGACCCCGGCGTCGTTGACGAGTCGAAGTTATGCAAAGTCTGCCAGGCTGCGTCAGACGGCAGCCATTTTGGCGTGGAGTCCTGCCGGGCTTGTGCAGCTTTTTTCAGGTTCCAAATAATGTTTATTACATTACAAAAGGTGTTCAGACGTAGCGTTGTGCTGTCAAAAGATTATATATGCCGACAGCAGGGTGGGATGTGCAAGATTTATAAAGGTAGATTACCTGTTTCATGTAGCCTTGGAAAAACGGTCGCTTTGACGTCCAAATTCCATTCATCCAGTCCCCGAACTATGCTTCCTTCCAGGCACCAGAATGTGCCGAAAATGCCGAATGGACAAGTGCAGACGCTTGGGAATGATTTCGGACCGTGAGCTAAAAACTGAAAATTTTTGATTTGAATATTTTAGAGGTGCAGAACCGGCCAGCCGAGAAGGAGACATTTCTGGAGTGTTCGCCGACATCATCTACAGTAGGATAAATCGGGCCAAAATCATTAACAAATATTTTAGACTCCAGATCCAGTCTACAACATCTCCAAGTTGAGCCCAAGTCAAATCGCGCCGAGGTTATACGAAATTAACGACATTTTCAAGTTGGTTTTTGAACTCTTGATTGCTCTCGCTCCCTCTCTCTCTCTCGCTCTCTCTCCCTCGCCACTACTCCTATTACTACTACTACTACTCCTTCTGTCAATTTTTCGCTTTTTAGACACTTCCTCTCCGTCCAACGATCCGTCGAACATTCCGTTACGAACGCGACGCACCGCGACGTCTTCGACACCGTAATACAGAAAGTGGTAGTACCTCCCAAAATCAAATTTATTTCCTTAGGAACGTCCGATGGCCAATTTCCCGATGATGTGTCGGCTCGCCCGGGCGATATTACCTTGCGTAATCGAATTCGTAAAGTCCGTCCTGGCCCCGTTGCCGGAGCTTCAGCCTGATGAGCTGGTTGGATTGTTGCCTCAACCTCTTAAAAAAGGTTATAGTGGCACATTTACCGCCAGTATTCGCCAATGTTATGGATGTTTGAGACGTCATACTTTACATATAAATATATGGAGCCGGACAGCACGACGTAGGTCTCAAGCAAACACTCGTAGCCCTAAAAATCAGTTTTTATGGAGATTTTTTAGACGTAATTTACCGTACTGATTAATAAAAATTCAATTAAATTAAACATTGCTTAATTTAGAATGATGTTCACGCAGACGACAATTGTCGACCTCAACAACACACGCTATTTTTATGAGGGCAGCGTGGCGGAACATAATGTGGAGACGATGTCAAAGTAAGTTTTGTCGATACCTAGCCATGGATAGGGGTCGATTTGACCTTCTCAGTCCCTTTAAATTTTCATATCGTTATCTTAGTGTAATGCGAGAGTGCTACCTCCGTGATTGCGATGCCGTTCGCCAGCTTCGAAGCCTGGAGCCCACCGAAATTGAGATCTCAGCCCTGATGGTGATTCTGCTGTGGGATCAAAGTAAGTTTGCTAGAAACAATCTGACTATGAAAAATCTTATTAAATTATACTTTAGGTTTTGTAGGTTTTGGGATTATCTTTGACCCTGAAAACCCAAAATTTACCGTGATTTTTTTAGACGTGGCCCGTGAAAAGCCCAACCTCATTCAAATTGCATCCGAGCAACGGGATATGATTTTCAACGAGCTGAGCCAGTATTACCGGTAATACTCCAGGTATCGACGGCGTACGTTCGAATCTATAGATACGTCCTCAACCTGCCCGATTACGCTGTAAGGCTTGGGAAGCTGATGTGCATCTACAGCTCACTTCAGGTATCAGAATTCTTCAAAGGCTCACTCTAGCCATTCAATAAACACATGATGAACGTGATTCATTACGAACAGCAACCACAAACGTGAAAACTATTGCCTTAGAATAACGCCTCAAACTTCAAGGAAGAGCTGGAGCTGTTCAACATGATGAACCTGTTCAGCCAGGATACCTTTATTTATGACTTTATCAAGCATTAACTTTTTTAGTGTTGCAATACCCAATGTAATACATCCATTTGTGTGTGATCTGGTGTAATTAAACTTTGCCCATTGATATGGTCCGCCGCACAAATCACAATCCGACAAAACGGAGGTCGTTTTTTGTGATTGGCAGTCGGGGGAGAGATGGCTATTTAGAGTAGTTAGCACTAACAAATCGAATTGTTCTTCGCTTTTCTGAAGTTTATCGATTATATAATTTGTTTCTATTTTAAACTACGCTTTTTACGTTAGTACACCTGCTTAAAAAAAATCATAAGTTTAGATAGTTAAGGTTTTCTAGCCTAAAAAGCTAATTCTTCTTTAGTTTCCGACTATTTCACAATTATACGATCTTTCGTTGAGGTTTTTGTTAGTAAATTATTATATTTTTTTTTTGTTTAAAGCACGGCCCGAAATAAATTATAATTGGTCGGATATTTACATCAATATTTTGAAAATCCGAGTCTTTGGACCACTTTAATACTACGACGCTACCATAATATAATGGCTTTTAGGCTCGTTGATTCTTTGCGAAATCCTTATTTTTTTCCAGTCTATCAAGACTTTAAATGGACAGTCCCGCACCTCCAGACCTACTCGAGCTATGCCCCGCCGACTCCTCAAATCCAGCAAGCGCCGACCAGAAAATATGCAAAATATGCGGCGCCAGCTCTGATGGCAATCACTTTGGAGTGGAGGCATGTCGAGCGTGCGCCGCCTTTTTCAGGTATGCTTTTGTATTTTCTTCGTATGCTTTGAGGCTTTAGACTATACATGGGTCGACGCTTGCATGCGCCGCATTAGCGCGGCTGGCCACGCTCTTCCGGAGCGTGGAGACCACGCTGGCGCGCGTGGCTCTTAACAAACCACGCAAAAATGAGCGTGGCTGGCCACGCTCCGGAAACACTTATGCAAAGTTTCAAAAGACGCAAAATCAACATTTTCCAAGGGCATGGATACGTAAAAATCGATAAGTTTTCAAGAAGTTAAGTATCAAAAAGTTAAACCACTACCTATAATGTTTATTTATGAAAAATTAAACAGGCACTTGATAGTTATGTATCGGTAATCCATTTTAGCAAATCGAAATCATAGATATATGGCCTTTCAATTTTTTATTTGCATCTCGAGTTAAAGTGCGAGCGTGAAAAATCACGCATAAAGCGCCGCATAGGCGTGGTTCTCGACGCTCCGGAAGAGCGTGGCCAGTCACGCTTATGCGGCGCATGCAAGCGTCGACCCATGTATACTTTAGACGTTGCATAACCCTTCCGAAACCATATAACTGCACGCAGAAAAGTAATAGATGTCGGATTCACAAAGGTATGGCGAATCATAATGCAACTCCATAAAGCATTTTCCAGGAACCAGGATGTGCCGGAAATGTCGGCTGGATAAATGCCGGCGGCTGGGGATGGCTACAGAATGTATTGTTCTCTCTTTATCTCTCTCTCTCTCTCTCTCTCTCTCTCTGTCTGTCTTTCCCTCTCTCTTTATTTGGATTGAACTTTATTTACAACAGTAAACGTCAAAAATATACCTTTAGCCGTGCAGAATCGGCCAGCCGAACAAGAATCACTTCCGGAAACCGCAGAAGAGCCAAAACAAACAGTAGACGCAGATATTAAAGTTAAAAATATGATCTAGGCGCCAAAAAATTTCCACAATACGACCGTCGGCCTCACAGCTTCCGGACTCGAGCTCCAAAGAAGTCCCACCATACCTCACCGGATTGGTTGAAAAATTTCGGTAATATCCACCAATCTTAGACCCAGTCAAATGGATTCTTAGGCACTATTTATCTGTGCAAAGAGCTGTGGAATACTCGATTACGGAAGGAAGCCAAAGGGATCTATTCGATACGATAACTGGCAAAGCTGTAGGTGGAGCTCAGCCTATCAAACAAGGAGACTGATTTAGCATCGCCGTTTAAGTATCTCTCTCTCTCGCTCTCTCTCTCGCTCTCTCTCTCTCTCGCTCTCTCTTTCTCTCCCCTCTCTCTCTCTCGCTCTTTCTCGCTCTCTCTCGCTCTCTTTCCCTCTCTTTCTATCACTCTCTCTCACTCTCTCTCTCTCTCTCTCTCTGTCGCTCTCTATATCTATCTCTTTCACACTTTCGAGGCACAACTATAAACATACGCTTTAGAAAAAAACGCCTGGCCAAGTTTAACACAGTGTGCCGCATGGCTCGCTCCCAATTATCATGTACGGTAGATTATGTCCACTCTGTATTGCCAAACGGGATGAAATTGGAGCAAGAAGAGCTGGTATGATCTGGAGTGCGAACTGCCCCAAACACAACCATTTAGTGGCATCACTGCAAAGCATTCATGCCAACGTTTTGGATGCTGGGATGCGCGTATTATACCTACGAGGATATGGAACCCGGGAGTCGACTGTGAGCAAGATACAGCTAACAAGGAGACGTTTTTGAGTGACATCCCAGTTTTTGAGCATGAGCAAGCCTACCTTGTGCAGCATTTTGCGCTGATTCCGAATCTGTTATCGAAATTTGCTTAATCGTAGCGCGAAAATGCTCAAAATCCGAAGTTTAGACACCTGGAAAAATTCTAGAGGAAATATTTTGGCGAAAGTAATTAGCGCTTCTTGTGCAGAAAAAGATGTTCTTTCGAATGTTCTTTTCGCCCTAAAATGCGCTGTAACTTTTTCAAAGTGCCGATTAAGCAAATTTGGATAACAGATTTGCAATCACCGCAAAATTCTGCACAAGGTATGCTTGCTCATGCTCAAAAACTGGGGTGTCACTCAAAGACGTCTCCTTGTAAGAATAGCTGATATAAAGAATATCAAATACATGGAAATTAAAATCATATAAATTAAAAAGGCGTTGACAAGAGCTGAAAAGTCGCCATTTGATGATTTTTCACTTTGGAGTTGGCGGTTCCGCTTTTCTTTCTTTCCAGATTTTTTTCTTCTTGATGAGACTGTCAACATTATTTCAAACACAATTGAACCCTCAAAAAGTGTGAATTTAGAATAATGTTCACCCAAACTCTCGTCATGGATCTTGATAACATACGACATTTTTATGAAGGAGCGGTTCCGGAGCACAACGTGGCAACGATGGCAAAGTCAGTTTTCCTAAGCCTGTACTTTGTTTTATTGGCTATGCGTCAAAAGCGGCGCCTTAATATTGAATAGATTCTGGAATCCACTTTATAAAATTCACTTTGACTTTCGAAATACCCATAAATTCCCAACATTACAGTGTCATGCGAGAATCAATGCTTCGCCAGCTACACGTCGTCGGCCGGATGCGAGAATTAAAGGTTACCGAGGTTGAAATTGCGGCCTTAACGACCCTACTTTTATGGGATGCTGGTAATACAATCTTAATCTGCTAAAATATGTATAATGATGAGGTTTAGACGCCGCCAGAAACCACCCCAACATCCAAAAAATCGGTGCTTGCGAGAGGAAGAAGATTTTCGACGAGCTTGGAAGTTATTATAGGTAAATGAACTTAATTTTCTCTGTTTTTAATATTTTCGTTTTTATTTTTAGTATTACTTAATCTTTACTTGCAAGGCGAATCTTTCAGATTTGTGCTGAATGAATCGGATTACGCGGCTCGACTGGGTGGTCTAATGTGTTTGTATAGCTCTTTTCAGGTAATTACAAGCCAATTCTTGAAAATTGTAACTTCTTT